GGGACACTCTGGGGTCCCGAGTGGCTCGGGAAGCTGTCAGGGGGCGGAGGCCTCGCGACTAGAAGCAGGTGTCACCTCTGCAGGCCCGGGGCACCCCAGGCCTCTTTCCTCTCTGCTCGCTTTGAGGGTGCCGCGGGAGGTGGGAGGGCAGAGACCACGACTGTCCGCCGTCTCCCCCTTGAGGCCCAGGGCGTTGGACAGACCGTCAGAAGGGCCTCTCAGCACGGGGAAGGTCCTTTTCTTCTCGCTGCACCCCTGCTCTGAGCTCAACCAGTCTGTGCAGCTTCTGTTCCCAAACACCAATTCTGGGGCGTCCTGAGACCCAGAAGTGAAAGCCTGGCAGGCTAGTGTGCCGAGCCCCTGTGTTTTGATCAGTTTCTGGAATGCTGTCCTCTTCCTCACAGCGACCCATTTCACACAGGAGGAGAAAAGAGTAAGTGAAATGGCCAAGGCCGCAGTGCTGGTAAGAAGTAAAGCTAGGAGGACACCAGGGACTGCTGCCAGCTTGAGCAGTAGCGGGACCCTCTAGGGCCATGGCTCCAGAGGCCACCAAGTGCCTGGATAGCTGAGCACTGTGAACCAAAACTCCCGCGGAGACAATTCCCTAGGGTACCCTGTGGTGCGCTCCCACCCAAAGCAAAGTCTTTCACTTGTGCAGCTCTGAGCTTTTGAAAGATGCAGTCTTGCTCTGTCCTGGCTGCCCAAGATCAACAGCAAGGAAATGGCAAGAGTCGGGATTTGGTCCTAAGTATCTACCCCATCTCCAAAAGGCCCAGAGATGGGTGCCACCTCTTCCTGTGAACCTGCAGAGCCTTAGCGCCAAGCGTCCGTTGACGGAAACTTCACAACCATCTTCCAGTCTTGAGCACTTGCACTCTCTTGAGAGCTGTGAGGTCTCCATGGTCGGTCCAGTCAGAGCCATTCTCCCACCCCAGCCAACCCCAAGGCTTGGTTCTGCCCTGTGGCTTCGGAACCATGGCCGCTTTGGCCTGAAGATGCACAGGTAGAGTCAGCTCATACTGGGTCTGGGAAGTGAGAACACCAGGAACCTGCCCTTGCCAAAGTGGCTCTGGGGATCAGAGCCCCCCAGACTGGCAGCTGTGAGGTGACTCGGAGGCACTGTTCAACACATCTACCTGTTCAGCTCTGGGACAAAAGATCACGTTGTAGGACCAGGAGGTTAGCTCAGTGGCACAGCACCTGCCTCGAAAGCACAAGGTCCTGAGTCCAATCCCCTGCCACATAGTGTGCAGCTGCGTGCATAACAGTACAACAAGCTGTGGAGGGAAGGCATCAGGGCTCCAAGTTATTAATATGAGAACTTCTCCTTTGAATGGGTTAAATACAGTGCAAAATGTGCTGCAATGAGAAATCACTTGAGCCAGGTATGGGTAGTCCCAGCACTGTGAGGCTGAGGCAGGAGGACTAAAAGGTCAAGCCCAGCCTAGGTAACTCAGTGAATTAGCAAGACCCTGTCTCAAAAAACAAACAACAAAATAACCAAGAAAGTAAAGTTTTTAATTTTGCCAGAATGGAAGCTCCCATAAAACTGGAGCAAAGAAGAGCTTGGGTGCCAAAAAGATTTAACATTAAAAAGAAGCCAAGTTATGTACTTTTCCATAAGACAACAGAAAAAAACTGGCTGGAAGGCATCAAAGGCAGAGCAAGACACACCCATCTTTGCTGGCTCAGAATTGCCAAAGTGAAAGACTTGGCTGTGAAGAGGGCCTGAGGGCATCCTTCTTCA